TTTTTAAAAAAAAAAAAAAAAAAAAAAATATATATATATATATATGCATATGTTTACAAGATACTTTGACTCAATTCTTCTTATCGCCATATATGACCCAGCAGCAAAGAATTCCCTACTTGCCACTTGTAGTGCTCTCTGCACCCTGCCATTAGGAATAAAGATGTGAGATATTGGAAGAGTGAAATCAAATATCAGAAATAGATCATGATAAAATAAATCACATTAAAACATAATTCTTTGCACACTGTCTTATTACTTGCCCACTTCCTTCCTCTGCTATGATGCTTTTCCTTTTTGACAGGGGACTAATTTCACAGGATTGAAAACAACTCTTAAGAGTTGGTACATCCTTCGTTTTAGAAATACCCAATAATTTGGACAGAGAGCAGCTTTTGCTGATATCAAGCAACTCAGTCACAAAGCTCAATAATCTGCTGTGCTTAGGCACTTTTGCAGAGAGCGTTTATTCTACCTCTGCTGTCTGTGCGCAGATGTCTCTTCCTCCCAATTCTAATCAATGTAAATTGGGTCAGATCTCCGCTGTGAATTACAAATTGGATCCGAAGTTGGAGGGTCACCGTGCCTGCTACTCCACCTCCTTCCCACCACCATTAGATGGGAAGCTACACCACAGATCTTTTCTAAATAAATCAGACTTTATTGTAAAACTCGGCCACTGACGAGACATAACCTCATTAGCATTGATTTTAAAATAAATTATTGAAAGTGGCTTGCCTGCTCTTTGCATTTGTAAAATAGGAGAATGTAAATGTATTTGCAATGATAAAAATGAAAACTAAAATTTGATTCCTTTATCCTTTCTGGCAACAGCACTTAATCTAGTCATGAAACAAAAATGGAAAAAATAAAAAAATCTGTACTATGCAGTTCGATTCCAGACGAAATACCCTGATTCCCATTGTGCTTGTGGAGTCACCAAGAAAGAAAGCAGAATGCTGGCCATAGACCTTATGCATCATTCACCACCACTGCTAAGCTCTGCGGTGATGGATGTGAACGAGGAAGCGCCCATCCCCACAGCTGTTCTATCTAGCATTGTCCTTCCCAGGTGGCTGACGGTGGGCTCAGGTCAAGAAGCCTAGCAGTTGATGTGAGGGGCTGGGTGCCGTGCCTCCGTGGCCTTTGAAAGTGTGAGTATGGGGGTCCCATCCCTTTGTGAAGGAAAGTGCCCTCCACAGCTGGTGGTGAAGGGCACACTTCTTAGCACCTCCCCAACTTTAGAGGGCACGATATAAACAGAGAGGCATACAATTCATCTTGCATCCTTCAATGAAATCAAATTGGTATATTTGAAACTCCAAAGCCAAGAAAACTGATGATATGGGAACAGGAAAAAAAAAAAAAAGTCTCTTTGCTCATAAAAGAGGGTGGGTTAAACAGCCAAATTTCTAATTTTTATTCATTTGTAAGGTGGGGTTTTAATTTTAAAGAGATTATTTTGAAAAAAAATATTTTTTAGGCTAAAGAGAATATTGTACTTCTTTAGAAGAATATTATTAGGCATCTTAGCATTACATCTACTGAAATACATCTTCATTTAAGAGAGAATTAAAATTTATGTGCTAGCTCAACTTTAAATAGTAATAGATTATAATGCTCCTTGCTCCTAACAGGGCATATGAGACCCCAACCTTACATAGGTTTTAAACAAATTAACCTCCAAAGATTATTGTCCACTTATTACATTAAATGCTCTACTTGATTCCAAAATATCTCATCTCAATTGGGAGAACAGTTGAGGAAGATTCTGTTAACTGTGTGAACATGTAAGAGAACTGTGGGGCATCACAAATGAGCACCAGTATCCAGAGAGTTGATTTCAATCAACACTCTTGGCACAATGTCAGGGACACTAATGAGAGGCTGAAAGGAACAAGACACTGACTCCACTTTGGAGGTACAGAGAGGAGCCAGCTTCCCACGACACCTGGCTCCTTTCTGAAGTGCTGCTCTGACATCGGCTAAACCAACACAGAGAGAATAACATTAAAAAAATGACTAGATCACAAAGTGGGAGACCACTTTCCCCAAACAAAGCAAAGTGACAGAAGCTTAAAAAATGCCAACAGTATCAATGTGCAACCAGATGTCAAGGTGCTCTGGTGACAGATGCAACAGAAATATAGACAGACTCGACGTGCAAAGGGAACACGCAGAAAAGCAGAAACAGAAACCACTCCACAGCATGCACATCTATGTTATAAATCTGTGATGCTATAGCACCTCTTTAGACAACACGGAAAATAGGAGCAAGATGCTAAATAACACTTTTAATTCTCTGGTGTGTATTTAGTAATCTCAACTGTTACCTTAAAATATTTGCATCCTCTCTCTGTGCTATGGTCTTGATGTACAAGATATTAAACTCAATTTCTGCTAACTGCAATACTTGGATTGGTCTGAACTTAATTTCACAAATAATAATTGAGTGCCTACTAATTGGGGGGAGAAAGACCTGAATACAAATCCCTGTGGTAAGGGCTAAAACAGAACTCAATTCCAGTTGAGTCACTGAGGAAACACATTTGAGCACAATGTGCAGGATTTCATCAGCTAAGATCAGGGGGGATATTATAGCTAGAAGTAAACAGCATGATTCTGGCTTTGGTGCTGTCCAAACAGCACTGTGTGGCTAGGATCTAGTGTGCTTCGGAGTGACAGAGAGAAGGCCAGGGAGCTCAGAGGCAGCTTGATGGTGGCGCTGACTCTTCTTTGATGTTCCCCCCATGCAGTGCTGCTTTTCTATGAAATTGGAATTTGCTTTCTTCATAATCTTTGTATTTTTAGTGTCTGCTTTTTTCTTTCCTTAGACCTCCTACAATCACTGTTTCCCCTTCCTGTGGGTCTGGACAACTGTACAGGGGGAAAAATAATTCCACAGAATGCTTGTTTCCATTAGAGTCAAATTAAAAAAAAAACCACCCCAAACCCAGTTATATGCCTTATTCTAAAGCAATCTGGTTTCTGAGTCTATAATAATCCTCTGGGGCAGTGTGGGCGGCATTGGAATGTGCACAGAAATTCCCAGGGAGGGCTCTTTGTCTCTCTTTCTGTTTGCTCTCCTGAAATCTCTCTAGAGAACACAGCCGGATTCTGTTGCCACTGCAGCTGCGGCAAGGCCCTAGTAAAAGCTCTTCAATGGTCTCAGGCGCCTTGCTGGATTCCGGCCTTGAGGCCCCAGACAAAGAGAAACCTGATAAAAGTTGTCCTTTTATGGAATCTTGAATCGTGAAACTGGGCCTGCACTAGCCTGTAAAATAATTTTGGGGAGGGGTGAGAGAGGGCTCAGAAAAAGCCTGCCATTTCCCATATATTGCTTTAGCATTTCTTTGTGGCAGTAACCTGCAGTTTAATCTACCGCAAATGAGATCTTAAAAATCAAGGGCCACCATATGCTCAACATGGATGTTCAGAAATCCCACTGGATACCAACCTTGAAACCATATGATCCAGGATGAACATTTCTGTGGTACTGGCTGAGAACCTCGAGTGCTCTGGTTTTTTCTCATCAGAAAAAGAATGCTTGCCATGTAGCAAATGCTAATTATCCTGTGATTAATGCGATGTAGTGCATTTAATTTGATGATCTATATATTATTTTGATTAGGAAAAAATATTTTTGTATTGACTTGGTATGTGTTACAGGCACCTTTCTCTCTACTAGGAAGCCCACTGAGGGAGATCTCACTTACAAGGCTTTCAACATAGAGACCATGAGGCTTGTGTAGGCCCCATCCCAAAGAGGAAGGAGACAGAACCATCAATGCTAAATAGTCTACACAAAGCACATTGACTTATTATAATGAAACAAATGTTAGCCGTCCAAGTCATTTGACTATTGATGAGTATGCAATGTTAGCACAATCCAACTTTACTGTCGGCTGTCCCTCCACCCAGCACCTGTCTTTGCAATAAAAATGGGCCTGAGCAGAAGGTGTGCTCCACATTCCATCTGCTCAGGATTTTCAATTTCACCTGCTTCATACCTACAGCTGAATATGTCCAACTGGATTGTCTCAGATCTGGTTGGTGGAGGTGGGGAACTAGCCATCCCCCAACTCTTCAAGGAAGTAACACTTCCTATTTAAACACCACCAAATTAACAATAGCCAGGACTTATTGAGTGCTCACTGCATGCCAGGGCTCTGCTCTCAGTGCTTTACACACATTGATTCTAGATTTCTCACAGCATCCCTCTATGATAGCTACTATTGTTATCCTCATTTTACAGGTGGGAAAGGCACAGAGAGAGAAAGTAAATAACTTGCTTAAGGACTCACAGCTAGCAGGTGGCAGAGTAAGTCCATCCTGACTTAGAGCCAGTACTTTTGTCTGAGATACCATGCTATCTCTCATATGCTGCTGCTCAGTAGGTGGTCTTGTGAGATGGCAGCAGAGGGGAGACAATGTTTGGCTCCTCACATTTCCTCTCAGTTCCTCCAGGACTGGTAATGTGGCACATGTAAAACGAACAGCAATTTCAGAAGCAACAATCTGAATGGGGTAGATGGCAAGCTGAGTGATGGAGATTTATGGCTGAAATATTCTTATCATAATTAAATGCCAATATATTCCCACCTCCAATGTTATCTCTAAAAACTGTGATGGATGGAAAGAGGCTTTTGGGGAAGAACCTGTTCATTGGGTACAGCACTGTCCTTTGGAAACTTATAACAAATTGGCTGCTGTTTCCCTCACCTGCACAAAGACACCCTGGCTTTCCTACAGTGAGGCCGGGCCTTCCTTACTTCCAAGGGACAGTTGTTGTGAGAAAGCAGACCAGTCTCTATGTCCTTGGAGTTCACTCCAACATCCAGACTGGTGTGATTTTTGCTGGTAGCCTGGGCAGTGCCACACTGGTGAAGGGGAGGAGTTTCAAAGGCAGGGGATGGATGGTGGTTAAGAAGTCAATCATCCATACCCACCTGCGGTAAGGTGATGATCAAAAATTCATTTTATTTTTCGAGGCTTCTGTCCCTTTACTTTCCTTTGCTCCCCTTCTCTGAGCATCAGCTCCCTCCTCCCTGGCTCCTTTGAGAACTAAACATGGTGCATGAAAAGGCCCTTCTTTACTCCCCAGAAGACTGAGTGATTCACGGAGGTTTTCCTGGAGCACTCTTCCACAGCTGTAACCCAAAGTAGAGTGTCACCCAAATATTTCCCCAAGCCTGGGCAGAAGTGATAGGAATGAGAGCTCGCTAGGAAGATTCTGGCCAAGTTGGGGAGTACATCTCCTTTTAGGGAGCGTTGTGAATTAGATCCATTTCTGCACCCTGCTGTTGCGATGGAGCAGACTGTGAAAGGGAAGATTCTCAGAGGAGCTGTGTTTTAATGTAGCAATTTGATTCAATTTTCCACTCTATAAAATTACCCATCACTGCTCGTTGCTTTCTAACAGACACCTTCACTCTTAATTTAACAATCCTATCGAATTCTGCCAGGGAAATTGGAAAAATTTATCACCTGTGAAATTTTATTTTCCTTTGGTTGTATCTGTTTTTGTAAAACTTCATTAACGACGATGACTTGCTGAGGAAATTATCATTTTTTTTTAACTTCAGACACAAGAAATGGCTCGACCTCAACCAAGATATCATTTGCATAATAAAACACAACAGAAAGGCTGGGGAAGTGGGACTGGCAGAGGCTGGAAGTGCTAGAAGAA